AGTTGGGGTGTTACATTTAATGGTATCAGAGCTACGGTTTAGCCGATTCTCGGCATAAACAAGAGTCTAGGGTGTCTTATAATGTATACATGCCAACAAAATAGTGAAAACTTCTGATCTGGTATAGTAATGAGTATGTTGTTTTGCTAATAGAACGATATGTTTGTTCTTAATAGATGTCCGGACATGATAGTTATAGAAGTCAAGCGGGAGATGATCGGCCCGCTGAGAGTAGTAATTCACCTGCCCTGGCCAGGCAAGGTGAAGAACAGACACCTTCTGGAGTGCCTGTAACTGATCAAGATGTGTTCTTTAGAACATTAGATGCGGTATTGACGCGTTATCAACCTCCTGTTACTTCAACTCCAAGAATGAATGTTGCAAAGGAGTTGAAGGGTTTAGGAGCTACAGAGTTTAAAGGTGAAGCCGAAGAAGGTCATGTTGCTGCGGACCTTTGGCTTAATGATGTAAAAATTATGTTAGAGGGACTTCACTGTTCTAATGTAGAGAAGTTAGATGGAGTGGTCTCCTTGCTTCGTGGGCAAGCGAGAATTTGGTGGACAAATGTCACTTTGAGAATGACCAATGATCAAGTGACATGGTCTTTGTTCTTAGAAGAATTTAAGCATAAGTATATAGGAGATCAATTTATCCGTCAAATGAAGCAAGAATTTTTGAATCTGAAACAGATGAATCGCACAGTGTATGAGTACGAATGCGAGTTTAATAAGTTAAGTCGTTTTGCGGTTGAGTTGATTCCAACAGAGAAGGATGTGTGTGAGTGGTTTGTAGAGGGCTTGCACCCAAGGTTGAAAGAAATGCTAATAGTATTGAACTTGTCCTCATTTCAAGAAATAGTAAATCGTGCTAAAGCTCTAGAGAGAGCTCAGAATGAAAGGTTTGGGGATCAAAGAACCCAATCATCTAAAAGAACCGGGGCTTTATCGAGTTCTGCACCACACAAGAGGGGTAGAGATTCTGGTACTCAGTCTCAGGCAAGGTCTGGAAGGGTAGAATCCTCCGTTAGAGAATCAAATCAGGGGAAAGTTAGACAGACCCAATCAGTAGGATTTGGTGAGGACAGAACCCAACAGAGACATTGTCAGACTTGTGGAAAATATCATGGTGGAATATGTAGGGTAGAATCCGGAGCTTGTTTCCGATGTGGTGAAATGGGACATTTTGTGAGAGATTGCCCATTGGGGAAAGGAGAACCAGTACAGTCGGAACGATCTGTTATGATACCTGGGAGAGGGAGAAGGAGAGGAAGAGGTAGGAGCCAATCTGAATCTTCTACTCAACAAGAAATACGTTCCACTGCTCGAATGTATAATATCAATACCAATGAAGATTTTGATGATCCGGAGATAATAGCAGGTATCTTTCTAGTGTGAAATAAATACATTATGATAATGATTGATTTAGGCTTGCATGTTTATATATTAGTAGTAAATTGGTGAAAGAATTGAGAATTCAATTAGAAGTTATTTATAGTAATATGACAGTGACAAATATATTAGGGTACAGTGTGTGGATAAGTAAGATATATTGAAAGTGTCCCATTATAATTCGGAGAATTTAATTTCTTACTAAATTGATGAATTGTTATTCAATGAATTTGAAGTAAGATTGGAAATAAACCAGTAGTATAATGTTAGAGGATTTATATCGTTCTGAAATAGAATAGTTTCTTTGCTGCATTGATGAAATAAGGCATAGGGGATGATTCTTATAAGGAGAATATTAAAAGATCAAATGATGCAGAATATTGTTATAGGAAAGTTTAAGAATATGTACATCAGTGATTTACATTATAGATGGATTATTGGTATGGAGTGATGAAACTAGAGGTTACTGTCTATATAATGAGTTACATTATATGGATTTTAAGAAAGGTTAAAGTAAAATGCATTGGAGATGTGTAGACAATATCTTATCTCCTGGTGCAATGAAAATTCGAGGACGAATTTTCTTAAGGGGGGAAGATTTGTAACATCCCAAAATACGGGTTAGTGACCAAAATTGTAAAATTTTAGAATATGGTGATGAAAGTGTAATAGTTTAATAGTTTAATGATTTGTTCAGAAATATTTCCTAAAAGTTTATTGTAATTATCTAAAGAATTAAAGGGCAAAATGGTCATTAGACTTGAAATTATAATTAAATGATATATATATGGATAAGGATGGAGATATTTCCAGAAAAACCTCTTCTCTCTTTTCCTTCTTCATTTTCTCTTCTCCACGTGTGAAGCCAAGCAAAGGTAAGTTGTCTCTTGAGTTGATTATGTGCTGAAATTTAAGTTTAGTTTTGATTATTAGATGCTAAGTAAGATTAAGGAAGGGTTACTTTGCTTTAAAACAACAAAATGAAGAGGTTATGAGGATTTAAAGATTATGAGTTTTTGAATGAAATATTGAAATAAAGTGTATATTGAGAATTGAAAGTTGAATTTGACTTGTCATCAAGTTAATTAAGGGATAGGAAGTGTTAGAATAGGAATTTGAACTTGTTGCAAAACTAGTAGAATTTTTGTAATTACATAGGAATGACTAGATTTGAAGTTAAAGAAGTGATTATGGAATAGAAATAAGTTTAAGTATGTGTATTAAAGTTAGGAGTATTAAAGGAAGTAAAATAGGAAGGTTTGAGTTGAAAATTGATGATTTTCGAGCTTAGAATGCAATTTCTGGGTAGAGGGAACCGATACCCTATGAATGGGAATCGATTCCCCCTCTTGAACGAAAAATTCCAGATTGTTCAAGGGGTATCGATTCCCCTGGGGGGGTATCGATTCCCCCCTAAATGAAAATATAGAATTCGATTTATTAAATCGGTTTAAGTTATTAACATCAAGTTTAAAGTTTAGGCTTCTGATAGTTGTTTTGAAATGATATATTTATGTAGATATTGAGCCTAAACAAGTTCCGGAATAATCGAATCAAAGCAAGGCTAAGGTGAGTGCAATTTAAATTGTACTTATGTGATTGATCAAACATTGGCTTGCGATGAGTCAATGATAGAGTTACTATGGTAAGAAGTAACTTATATAATGTTATGTGATTACTCTGTATGCATTAGTACATAGAAATGAATGTATGTTTATATGTTACATGATTTACATGCTTACATGAAAAGGCAACATATGATATTAGATATGTGTTTACACATACATTTGGTATGTGATAGAAGAGAAGGAACATGTGATTATGAGATCAAGGATTACACGTATATGTAATACGTGACTGAAAAGAAACGATATGTGTTTATAAGAGTAAGAATATGAATAAGTAATGTGATCGGTCATAAATGATAATGCCCATGTTATGTGATATGAGAGCTAGGGGTATAGTTGGCATGCCAAGGGTCGAGGGTTACCTATGTTCTTCGGGACATACGGACTGTTTACCTATGTTCTTCGGGACATACGGACTGTTTACCTATGTTCTTCGGGACATACGGACTGTTTACCTATGTTCTTCGGAACATATGGACTGTTTACCTAGGTTCTTCGGAATCTATGGACTGGTCCTTCGGGACATTGATCGAGCTGTTGTGACAGCATAGTGGTGCACAACCTCAATGTACTCACATACCTTGAGTTCTCAAAAGTATACATGGGCTAATACATGGTCTTTACAGAGAGTAAATAAATAAATTGAATTGCTACTATGTATGTTTTGTTGTGAAGTAGTATATGTGTTCCATGGTATGTAGAGAAATGTTCGATATATGTATTTATATGATAAAAAGGTACTAAAAGTACTTATATTATCTCAGGTTATCATGTATACTGAATTATATGTGACTCGATTGAATTCATAGATTGAATGTTTATATTTATGAGAAATGCATTATTGTTATTATGTTTTTGCTTCACTAAGTCTATGACTTAGCGTGTAAGTGATTTACACATAGGTACTGAGAAGCAGAAGGATCAAAGCTAAGTTCAAAGTAACAACATATCTCTGCCCAAAGACCAGATCAGAAGTAAATTACACAGTATGTATTATTATGATAAATAGGTTGGCATGTAATTAAAGTAGGTAAATTAGGTATTATGCTCTGATCGAGTTTTGTAATCTTTTAAACATAGATATATAAGTACAAATGCAAAGAAATGAACTGTTAAATTTTTACGAGTGTTATGTACAATTTACGAAAAATCACTGTAGCAGGTTACTGTATTACTGTTCATATCGTATTTCACCGTTCATAAAAACGTTTTTATCTCAAATTTTTATACAACACACAATTGAATAATATTTGACTGTATTTTCTTAATATAAATTCAAATGTTCAGTACTTTTACAAGAGTAAAGGTTTTGAAAAATGTCAATGTGACATCTCGGACCCGTATTCAAGTCGGGTACGGGTTGGGGTGTTACAATCAATATGTCCTTTATCAACAAATCGATGACACAAATCAGAGAAAAATTCATGCCAAGTGACTCTACTCTTTTTCATGATATACCCATCAAACCAAACTTCAGCTCTACCAGTGAAATACATAGCAGCTATCTCTAACTTCTGAAACTCAGGAACAGAAAAAATAGAAAAATACTTCTCACATTTTCTGACCCAACTCCTAGGATTACTTCCATCAAAGAATTGGAGTTATATTTTTGGTTTTGGAATAAACATACCAGTATTATTACTGCTGGAATGTTTTTCCAGAAATAAATAGCCTTTACTGATCAATTGTTCCCATGATTCAGTTGTATGGTTTACTGCTTTCATTTTTAAAACATCAGGAACTTGTTGAACAACATTTTGTGGCAGATTAGGTTTAGATGCTAAAATTCCATGTTGTCCCGGTTGAAATGAAAACTTTTCACGCTCATCAATAACTGTAACTTGTAAAGGCTGTTTACTTGGTTCTTTAAGCTGAACTGTAGGTAATGGTTGCCTTTCTGCAAGAGAAGAATGTCTTGATTCAGTCCCAGCCTTCTACATCAATCCCAAAAGTTGCTGGAGCATAGTTTTCGTTTCATTTGTAGAAGTCTCCAAAGCCTGCATCCTCTGCTCCAAAGCACTCTGTTGGTTAAGCCACCAAGTGGGAATCACTTCTGCATTAGAAGACTCTGCTGGATCAGCAGGAATATCCGGCGGCTGCTCAGTAAGAGACATTTGTTGTGTTCTCTTTGATTTACCCAGTTTGAAAAAAAATTATATACTTTTGGATCAAAAAAATGTGCTTTGATTACCAATTGTGATGATTTGCTTAAGAATTTTAGAAAGGATTAAGAAAAAAGAGAAGAGAGATTGAAGAAACAGAATTCTCAATATTTTCATTCATAAAATTTTATGCTCATTACAACTGATTTTATAGAAATAGCCATAACAGATTGCCAGCTGTCCATTATTTATCAACAAACTAGATTCCCTTAACAGATTTGTCTTCTACTGTTGATGTAGGTTATTGGGCTCGTTTTCCTTCTTAGGTCCACTAAGGACTCCCTCCTTAGCTTCATCAGCCCACGCCAACGTTCCTGGTCCATAAGGTAATAACATAACTATATCCTTTTGTCCTTCATCTAATTTCCTAATTTCAATCCCTAATTTCCCCGTATTCCCCTTTTCTTCTTCAGTAATCCCTAAATACACCTCATGGGTCATAACATTGTTTTGACTCAATAAAACATTGAAAAGGGAACCGATTATCGGATAACGCTTGGAAAAAGCATCCGACTTGGTTGATGATTTCTGGGATTTGTTGAGAATGAACCAGACAAATAGGAGAGTGAGGAAGAAGAAGATGATTAAGGGTAATAGCTATATAAACATTGTAATAATTGTGGTTGATTTGAGTTTACTTTATAAGGGAGGAAGTCGGGGAGAGATGTGGATGGGGTTGTAATTTGGGGATTAAGTTTTGAGGTTATAATTTAAGAATTTAAGTATAATTTAATGATATAATTGTAATTTTAAAATTTATTTTATTTTAATCATATTTGATATTAATAAAAATATTCATATCATGTGAGTAAAAAAAATTAATGTTTAAAGTTGAATGAGTAAATTAAAAAAATTGAATGTACGATGATTAAATAGAAGAGAGAGTAAAGTTCAATTAGTAAGAGTGTAATTTATCCAAGGAATAAATGTGAAGTCGTGAACCATTGTAAAGACTAAATTAATGACATATTCATTAAGTGGTTGAACATAAGAAGCTTCAGAAAAATGAGAAAACCAGAACAACAGATATATCAGTGAAGGAAGTCGAAGGAGGAAAGTGAGAGAAGAGACAAACCTTAGAGACATGAAGAAACTAACACCCATCAGCGGATTTTTGTGGAGCCAAAAAAATTAAGTAAAAAAATATTATGCCTCTTCAATTAAAAAATTGTATTTATAGAAAATAGAAAATAGAAAATACTTTAATTTCTGTTAAAATAAATTCTTAGTTTCGCTTTTGACATCGGAAAAAAGTATGATGGTTGAATAAAATCGGAGCCAAAAGGGATTGGAGAGACAAAGCTCATGTGTTGTCTTTGTACCTTGCAGATAACTTTTCTCTTGCAAATTTTATGCACCCCATTAGAACTATGACGGTGACTGGAGGTGGTTATAATGATGATCATTGTGATGATTGAGATCTAAGTTCGTTCTGGTTAAGGACATAAACTTGAGAGAAAATGGGGGGGAGAAAAAAAAAGAAATGAGTGTTCGATCTAGTCGAGTTAACGAGACTTATTTTATAACACGAACTTTATTTGATTTTTCTTAGTCGAGGCTAGTTGTTCAAGTTTATGTTTGAAGTTCATTGTAAATATTTATAATATTATGGTACTATTTGATTTCAATTTAAATGGTTTTCTATAATATACAATATATATATATATTTCTTCATATTTTCCATATTTGATATACATATATCGTACAAAATTGAAAGACTCATACTCAAACTTAAAAATCAATCTATTAATTATTAAAAATTTTGAATTATTCAAGTTCTATTTTATAATTCGACTCAAATTTAAAATTTTTCAAGTCAATATAAGTCAAGTTTTTAAATTAAATCCAATCAAAAAGATTGAATTTTCGAATTAATTCGAGTTTTTCTTATCCCTAATCAATACATGATTTTTTATTATTTGTAAAAAAAATATCAACCTTAAACATGACATGAATATATAGACATATACATGAACATAAAATTATTTGAGTTGAAAAGATAAAACGAACATAAAAACAATGATACATGAGACATAATTAATTGTTATTTGATTTAAAGTCATTTATTTAATGAATTTCAGTATTTTATGAGAAATTAAAAAAAATATAAAAATGTTAATATTGAGTTGTTAATATTGGATTTTATAAATAATAAATTTATATTATAAGAGTATTTAATAAATCGATAAAAGTAATGAATAATTATGCTGTTTAATAACGTTAATATATATTCACATTACTAAGATAGTTTAACTGCCGAAATGATTTACAATTTATCTACAGGCATTAGCTGACAGTTAAATACTCTTCTGAGAATAAAATACCATGCACCATGAGTAGGGGTGCACAAAAAATCCGAATATCCGAATATCCGAAAAAAATATCCGAAACCGGTTTTGGGAAAAACCGATTTTTTTTTTAACCGGATCGGATTTTTTTAAACCGGTTATTTTAACCGGTTTGGAGAAAAAAACCTAGACCGGTTTTTTTACCGGATAAAAAACCGGTTTTTATCCGGAAAAAAAAAAACCGGTCTGGGTTTAAAAAACTAGCCGTTAATATAGCCGTTGGGGGGGTTTTGTGACCGTTTTGACTGTTTTTTTCTTTAAAAAATTATCATTTTACCACCCTAAACATGTATAAATAGGTTGGGGATGTATTTGGTTGATTACAAATTCCTCAAATCTTATTACACAACACTTAAACATCTCTCAAATCTTACTTTTGTAATTTTTTGTTCATCATGAGTAACACGGCTGAATCTTCCGTCGGGGGAAACCTTGAAGTCGTGAGAGTGATCGAACACACTCGAAACAAAGACATTTGGGATCACTACGATTTATGTGAGATGTCAAATGGCTCGAGGAGGGCGCGTTGTAAACTTTGTCTAAAGTTTCTTGCATCGGAAGGAAACACAACGTTGAAGAACCATTTGACAAAATCATGCAAGGCACTTCGCTCAAGATCGGATCCTAGTCAATCGAATCTTACACCGCAAGGTGGTGTTTTTGTTTACGACAACGAAAAATTACGAGAAGCGTTTACAAAGTTCGTGATTACAAAAACCATTGCCGTTCGACCACTTTGATGATGAAGATTTCACGACAACAATTCAACAACTAATGCAACCACGTTATACTCAAGTAAGTCGTACTACCCTTAGAAGAGATGCTATAAAAATGTGGCGTACGGCGAGGGAAAAAATGATTTTAGGATTCCAAGAACACCGTTATGGTGTCGCTTACATGTGACGTTTGGAGTTCCCCTCATAATACCGGAAATTCTTTTTTAGCCGTTACGTCACATTGGTTAGATCAAGATAATTGGCAAATGATGAAAAGAACAATCGCGTTTGAATTATTCGGTGAGCCGCATACCGGTGTTAATTTATTTACACTTTTAAAAAGGGTAATTTGTCTTTATAAATTAGAAAATAAAGTTTTTTCTATATCCTTTGATAATGCATCGAATAATACAAACGCGGTTCCAAGATTGAAAATATTACTTTCACCGATTTTAGACGGTGCGTTTTTTCATACCCGTTGCGTTGCACACATAATTAATTTATCCGTGCAAGCCGGTTTGGAGGTTATTGAGCCGATTAGATTAGAATTCAAAACAATGATAAAATCGGTTCTTTGTAACAAGAACAAAAGACTAAATGATTATAAACGATTTTGTAAGTCCGTTAATAAAAAAGCTTTGGGTCCTAATTTGGATTGTCCAACTCGTTGGAACTCAACTTGGATGATGATGCATACTGCCTTAAGGAAAAGGGAAACATTGCAAACATTTCACGATCGGCTTTTCGAGAGGGGTCATGTCCCAAACATTTATCCGGATTCGAGTTGGGAAACTATAGCCAAAATAACCGATTTGCTTGAGGTTTTTAAAAATGCAACAACTTTTTTATCCGGTGTTTATTACCCTACTAGCCCGTTGGTTCTTAATCAAATATTTTTGTTGGCTACCTGACTAAATGACTTTGAATTTGAAACCGAAGTTTTTCAAGAAATTGGCTTTGCAATGAAGGAAAAACTTTTAAAATATTTTAAGGAGATTCTCCCCATTTTTACTTGTGTCGCCGCTTTAAACCCAACGTTAAATGTTGGTGGGGTTGAAACACTAATTGAACAAATTGCGTTTGCTTTTAATCTAACCGATGATGAACCCAACTTTGTCCAAAACCAAATAAATTATTTTAACAAATGTTTTCGAGACATGTTTGCAATTTATTTAAATAAATACGGATCAAGTAGTGTAATACACGATCAAATGAGAATGAATGCGGAATCATCTAGTAGACGTCCAAGTAACATAAATTTGAATCTTTTTAACACTCTTGTAAATTCCCAATCCAAACGATCACGTACTACCACCCCAAGTAGCGAGTTGGGAAATTATATGTCATGCGATTTTCTATCAAAAATGACATTTGAAGAGTTTGAAAGTTTGGATATTTTGGCTTGGTGGAAAGAAAAGGAAGCACAATTTCCGATTCTAGTCGCCATGGCCCGTGATTTACTAACCGTCCAAGCTTCTACGGTAGTTTCGGAATCCGCTTTTTCTGTTAGTGGCAGGGTTATATCGCAACGGAGATCAAGACTAAGTCCCGAGTCGGTAGAAGTATGCATTTGTTTAAAGGATTATTTGGATGGAGCGGCTCGTAAGCAACATATCACCACCCTAGAAGATGCAATTGATGCCGATTTGGAAGCAAACTTACACATTGAAGAAGTCGAACTTGGAATATCCCCTCCAAACGAAGAAGGCGAAGATGATGAAGAAGAGATGGCAATGTAGTTTATTTTATAACTTTATTTCAATTATCGTAAACTTTGTTTCAATTATCGAACTTGAAGTTTTTAAGTATTTGAATTTATCAAACTTGGAAGTTTTTAAGTATTTGAATTTATCAAACTTGGAAGTATTTAAGTATTTCAATTATGTTGAGTTAATTAAGTATTTCAATTAAGTATTTAAATTTATCGAACTTGAGGTTTGATGCTTTCTCTTTGATTCTCTCTTGATTCTAGTTGCTTGATGTTTCTTGTCTTTGATCAATGGCTTCTAAGCTTGCTTAAATACACTTTGAATCACTTCTGAACTTTAGTGATAATTAATGAAGATAATATAGCCGTTTAAGTGTGAAAACATTTAATAAAAATGCTTGGAGCGTGTGGGGGAATTGATACCCTCATAGGGAATCGGTTCTCTAAGTGTAAAATTCAAATATTTCGACCGTTGAATAGGGGGGAATCGGTACCCCCTATGGGGGAATCGGTTCCCTCCGAGCATTCTGGAAATCTCAGAGCCAAACCATTCAGTGAGGAATCGGTACCCCCTTGGGGGGAAATCGGTTCCTTATGAGTAATCTGGAATATTAAAATCGGTTTTTTTATAACCGGTTTTTTAAAAAAACCGGTTTTTTTAAAACCGAAACCGGTTACACCGGTTAGGATATCCGGCCCTCCAAACCGGTTAAAAACCGAACCGGTTATTTTATAAACCGGTTTTTTTTCTATGAGAAAAAACCGGATCGGATAAAAACCGATCCGGATCGATTTGAAATCCGACAAATGTTCATCTCTAACCATGAGTATACTGAATAAGAAGAGTCATTTCCATAATAAATTTATATAAAATTTTATTTGGATAAATCGGTAAATAAATTGGATATCAATGAATATTTTAAAAAAATCATAAAAAATACAAAAAAAAATAAAGCATTGGAATTGAAACAAAAATATTAAAATTCTTTCCCAAACTCAATTAATCAACGTGAACATAGCTTATTAGTTGACAGTATCAAAGTGAAGTAACATACCCTCCCTAATCTTGAATAACAAAGCTTCGATCCAAAGCATACAAAAAAACGGATCAGGATTGATCAAAGTAGACAGTGAAACCGAACAATACACCCTTGGTTTACCCGATGTTCCTCCATCAAACTGTTTTGGTTTTCGGAGCCTTTTTCTTCAATTGTCTTCTCGGCGATGAGTTCTTCATCCCAATGAAGAAGAGTAATGCCCCAAGCAGAGCCAAGTTCTAAGGAAGGGGTATTTAGTTTGAAACATTAACATAGAAATGTTCAACATTAGAACTGGAAGGAAGAATTAAAACCGTCCCCAACTAACCTGTGAGAACTTTGAAAAGAGTTGGCCGAATTCTTTCTTTTCAGTGTCATAGTTGTAGAAGTCATACAATATAGGGGTAACAGTGACCTGTTGCAGAGCCTACAAGAAAAGAAGAATGCTTTTATCAGTTGACTTGGTTCATAATTGAACCACTAATGCAAAATAACGCACAAGACCGGAAAACAAACCAGAAGAAAAGCTCCAATAGTGCTGCCAAAGATAAAAAGGAGACCCCCAACACCCTTGAAGGCTACAGCAGCAGCAACTAGATACTTAATCTGTAAATAACAACCAAAGAGTTATGACATAAGAAAAACCATATATGTTCATCCCAATGGCAAAATAAGGGAATTCTTACATCAAACTCCGGCACTTCCAACCCGGTATGTGATGTCAAACTTTTTGAGAAGACGTTGAATTTTGATTTGAGTGCAATAGCTGCTGGCCCTCCATCAACACCAAATTCATTGAACCTATACACATGAACGTATAACATGACTACGTGAGTAAAGAAAAACAAGACAGAGCTTATGGTAGTTCAGAATTACTGAATACATAATCGTTGTGATAGCAAAAGACAAATACCTAAATCTACAGCTCTTTAATACATATGTTTCTGCTAATGTAAAGTTTATGGGAAGAGATATATGTGCTGACAAAATATTTCCTCTAACACAAAGATAATGCTAAGAATTTACACCATAGCCTTTGCAATAGACCAACTTAGGTAAGTGGAATCATGGAATATCATTCTGCAGATTGACAATTCGACTTTAAAGCCCTACAAGCAACTGTGAACAATTTTCATGGATATTTAGTTAAGCAAATTGATTTCACTACAAACACACGTTCACAAACAAACACACACCATATAGGTATGGATGGACCCATGGGCCAGTAATCCCTAGAAATTTTAAATTCTCGTGTATTTTAAATATTTCTTTTTTTATTTTATGTTAATATTCTATTTTCGCCCCCCTTAAATTTTATTAGCTCGTCCGATTTAAAATTTTATAAATTCACCCCTAACATAAAATAATACATCTATTTATCATTTATACAACACATTAACTGCTGATGTTAGTACACATACCACACTCTCTATTCATCATTTATACAACACATTAACGGCCAACCAACAACAACCATTTCAAAACTTATGATATACATGAGATCCAGTACTTGAAGAAAAGATTTAATATGTTATAAACCTCGTTCCTCACTCAATCGTTAATATCCCTGCATTACAACATGGATAAAAAAACTAAACATCGAAGTAACTCTAACACGCCTGACCAGCAAGACAATTCAAACTTTGCACTCTGGATGGACTAAATCTTCACACAAAGCTAGCAACTTTACTAAAGCAACAAGATCTGTTTTCGACGGTTAATCGTCATTTTTCTATAATGAGAGAGAACATTAAATCATTGTAAATTAATGCTTAAGCAAACTACATTGTAAATTAATGCTTAAGCAAACTAACTCTTAAACTGCATTCAGATCTAAATCATTGATCATTCCTCTTCTTTTTTCCCCAAGAACCAAACAGATTCCATTAAAATAAGAAAGAATAAAGTGCAGATCAGAAGTGAGGCTTACTCTTGCCAAGCATAAAGGATGAACACGGAAGCGAAAAGAACCCTTCCGACGAAAGAAACTAGCGCCATTTTCTTCGATTACAAATCCAAGAGGAAAAGAAATCGAAACAAAATAAAAACAGAGAGAAATGAATCGATAAAACCTATAGCCGACAATTAATATAAAGAATGAGAAATGAATCGGTGAGTAAACAGGAGTACAGAACGTTGGTATGCGAGTAGGAGGACTGACTTTATACTCGCGGAATTAGAAATTGGACACGTCTATTTCGCCAATCAGATTTGTTTGTTTTTAAGTCGGAAGGCGGGTGACGTGACGTGGACGCGAGTAGAAAGTGAGTTGAGTTCCTTTTTCTCGTTTGATCTAATTTAGGTAGGCTACGGAAACGTCCTTGTGGTTTGGGGTAATTTACGGCCGTTGCCATCGTTAGACGTGTTTCCAACTTTTTAAAATCCTTGAATTTGCCGCCGGTCCGCATTATTGAAATTTGAATGTGAATTGGATGGTTACAGTCCAAAGCACAAATTATAAATTCGGTAATTTCATTATTATATTTTAATTTTACATTATTTAATTTTTATTGACATAGTGCTATTAATTAATTCGTTCAACTATTATATACTGATATTTATTTTAATTAAAATACTTATTTAAATTATCTCTTAGAAAGGGTTGTGTTAGCAATTTAATCGGAAAACCTAATTATTAATATTATAAGAATTAAATATTTAAATATTTTGAATTAAAATAAATGAGTTTTTTTTGTTGAACTTAGAGGATCGAAGGGACAATTTGAGGGAGTTAAAAAATGTTTTTTATAGTAAGTCTCTAGTTTTATTAAAAATATAAAATATTTAGAAATATAATGAAGATTTATAAGTATAATATAAACGTAAATAAAATTATAATTAGGAAATTTTCCTATAATCATTGACACAAAGACTAGTCACCTAGATCACACAATGATCAAATAAGGAAAAGGTTAAAAAACCCTAACTAAATAGCTCGAATAAAATAAAAATACGAATAAATCTGATTGCATCGACAAACAAACCACAAAAGGGGATGAAACTACTGAAGGACGCCAACAAATCGCAAAGCAAAGTCAAGCAACGTGAAAAACTATCCACAAACGCAAAATGTGTATCTAAATCAATCAGAGGGTCCAAAACATAAAAGATCATATGATAACAAATAAATGTTATCTTGATCAGTCATGGCGAAGTCAAATCTAACCTTAAGAAAAAGATAAACGAAAATAACGGCAAAATATCGTAAACTACCAAAAGGTATAGAAAAATATGTCACAAATACAGAGATAAATGTGTTATAATGGAAGAGAATATATCACAAAGTCATAATTATAATTATTAAAAATTAAAAATAAAGAAAAAAATAACTAACGAGTGGAAATAAACATCAAAATCGGTGTCGTCGTGATTAAATAAAATTAAAGAAGAATAAAATTTGATTGATCAATAAAATTGATTCAAATTATAAAAAAAAAAAGAAGAAGAGGAAGAAAACGGCTAAGATTTATAAGTAGAGTGGAGTTAAAAAATATTTAATTGAGTATAGCTGTGCATAATTAACGTTCCAATCTTGAAGTTGTCATTTGGTACGTATATAAACGGGGGATTGGTCCATTTTTTTCGGCCGAAAAATTAGAGAAACATTAAACAGTATATCTATATTGTAATATAATATATTATATACATTTCATACTAGACATGGTAAATTCGACCTGAATTTGATTACTTAAATCGATTTATCTAATATAATATTTGATATTAACTCGAATATGATATTTAAATTTGATCCGATATCTAATCTATACCTGACCCATACACAATCCAAAATTCAATACAATAGAAATCAATCAAAACCGAAATTAACCCGAACCAAAAGAAATTCGAACCGAATTTTAACCTGATCCGAAAGCAACCCGATCTTAATTTAACCCGATCCGAAAGTAATCCGAACAGATTGAAATTGATAAAAGTTATTTTAAATAAAATGGATAATTTATTAAAAATATTAGATTTATAATAAAATAATAAAAAGTTTAAGAGGAATATAAAAGTAAAAATCTAATTGTACGATTGAAAACAATAATAAATCAAAGTTATTTATCTTATTTGCTATAAAAATATTATATTTATAATAAAAATAATAGAAAACAACTAAAACAAAGAAATAATACTAGATTTATAATAAAAATAATATAAAATTTACTTATGTTACGACTAAAACATAACAAATAAAGTTATGTATTATTAATATAAAATTTAATAAAAGTATTAAAATTATAATTGGAAATAAAAATTTAATAATAAAATTATTTCTTTATTAAATAGTTCTTATTATAAACTTTTCATACGAGATCAATATAAAATTTTGATAACAAATTCTAACACGTATTATAATATCATATTTGTATCAAATTATCGATTTATCATTTCTAAATGATGATTTAATTCAAAATATTAAACAATTAAGAATTGAAATTAAACCTAAATAATAAAATTAACAAACAATAAGACATATTTTTACAAGTATATATCAATTATTCTATACATACTTGATTTTGATTAGATTCATAGTCAATTCAACCTGAATTGACATGATCTAAATGTTGACCTTAACCGAAAATCACTTGATCTGATATTGACCGACCCGATGTTAACCCGATCAAAAAATCAATCGATCTGATATTGATCTGAACCTGAAAACAATTGATCCAGTAATCACCTGACCCAAAAATTGACCCGACCTGATACGCAACCCGATCCGATTCACCGTACACTCGAACTAGATCTGAATAAGATCCGATCCAATCCGAACAAAATTAAATTGAATTTGATCTATTCCAAAATTACCCGACTAAAAAAGACACGATCCAAACTCAATCCAAATGACCTATTTGCCACCTCTATTTCATACACATTTATTATTATTATTATTATTATTATTATTATTATTATTATTATTATTATTATTATTATTATTATTATTATTATTATTATTATTATTTGCTGAACTCATACACATCTAGTTTAGATATTATTATAGATAGTTTTATTATTTCAATAGTTAAGTGTCTTTATATAAGATTTAAACCTTATTCTTCTTTTGATTATCAAAAAAGAAAAGATTAGAAACCATCCATTTTCTACGGTTTGTGCACCGGTGATTTTCAGTGGTTGGAGACCTCTACCCAGTGGTGGGAAGAGGTTGGCATTAAAATTCTAATTTTTTATATTAATTATTTATTTTATTGATGATATAAATTGCTGTCCATTTTTCTCATATGTATGGGGTAAGGGGAGGTAAGATAGTAGGCTACCCCTAACACCAAGTTGAGAGCAGCTTCCGTAAGAAATTTCTGAATTATGAAATGCCCTCTGTGGGACTCGATCCACGACCTCAAGGTTAAGAATCTTGTGCTCTACCAACTGAGCTGGATGATCATTTCTTATTAATATATATTTTCATTTTCAAAAATATTTTTAAATTTATCACCGACTATATTATTTTTTTCCTTTTTTTAAACAACAAAGGATTAAACTCGGTTACTGGAATAAATTTGTGTGTTTTAAACCTATTTATTTGACTTTTAAATAATGTTTAAATAAAAATTAATTCTGTCAAATTAGATAAAGTGATAAATAAGATAAAAAATTATCAAATCTTTAATGCTACTAAAATTTAAATATTAATTTGGTAAAAAAACCAACATGTGCATTAAGCTATAACGGCACAAACTAAACGACATCGATAATAAAAAAAATTATTGTTATCCTTCAAGCACCATAAATATTAAGAATATGAACATTTAATATTAAATAATTTAGAATTATCTTTAAACATATATTATATTATATTTACCTTATTTTACTAAAGTAAAAAGGCTATTAGTATTATTAGTTGAAATATAAAAGAATATTATTATATTATTACTTGAAAGATAAAGGACTATTATTTATTTGGCTACCAAAACAACTCGTAGACGAATAATTTGAGCTGCCACAGCACGTGACAAATTTAATGGGATTTTAAAATAAGAAAAACGAAGAAGGGAAGAGGAGGTTGGGTAAAAGTAGAAGGATTTGTCAGAGAAACCAGATCTCAACAAATAATAAAAAGAAAGAGTAAACTACACCCCTAGTCATCAACTTATTTGTATTTTTTTTATTTTAGGTTAATAAAAACATTACTGATGTTTTGATCACCAATGTTAAATATATAACGGCAAAGTTGATATAAACTTTTTATTTTTATTTTTGATGTTATTTTCTCTCTTATAAACAGTATTGAAGTGGTATTTTTATTAATTTCATTCGAACTAATTAGATAATAACACATGAAATCATCTAATTGATTCAAATAAAATAAAAACTAACGCATTTAGAATGGAAAGAATCTAATTTTGCGTCTGGTCATTGATATGTATTTAAAATTTATTATATTTCCATTAGAATTTAGGGTAAAGTATACAAATAGTTCATCAAATATAAGTTGTTAATTTGTTGAGTATATCGACTATTAAAAGTTATAAAATGATTCTCAGGCTATAGGACATTATTTTCTTAAGTCCCCCAACTATTAAAAGTTACAACATGAATATTCGACTATTCATACGTTCTAAACTCGTCATTTTTCGTTAAAAATTTGACTACCGTCTAAACTGGACGTTAATTTGTTGACTCAACAAAATAGTTTCCTATAGTCGGGGACCATTTTTTATCATATCATAGTCAACACGATAAAATCCAACTCAAACAGCCGCCAATTTTTTAACAGAAAATGATCAATTTGGAACATATGAATAGTTGGTTACTGTTTTGTAACCTTTAATAGTCGGAGGCTATTTTTTTATCATATCACATTCAGTATAATAAAATCCAACTCCAACGTCCGCCAATGTTTTAACATAAAATGATGAATTTGGAACACATTAATAGTTGGGTTACTATTATGTAACATTTAATATTCGGGGACTCAACAAAATAATATCATATAATTTGAGATCATTTTATAACTTTTAATAATCAGTTTACTCAACAAAACACAATCCTAATAGGGGACAATTTGTGTACTTTACCCTAAAATTTATATTTAAATTTGTTATAGTTCAAACTCTCTATCTCATGATTCAAATAACGCAATATTATTTCTTAAATACGAACCAATTTTAGATTAATGCGTAAATTACTTCTTTGTTAGTAATTAAAAAGAAACTTGAGAAGGATCCGATTAAAATAGCAGAATGAAGACGAAAAAGAATTAATTTTAGATTTATTATCCCCAAACGATACACGTAACGAAAGATATAAAATTTTAGGTTAAAGAGATAATTTCTAAAATTTTAAGATAGACGATCTTATAAAATTTTAGGGGTGTTACCATATCTTGATATCCCACAAGAACCAATACATTCTATGAATCAAACCAAGGACTGCATTATGGCTTTCCTCTCCTTCCTTCCTGCTAGTAAGCTTAAAAGCAGCGACACTAAGTTTTTGGTTCAAAGTTTAGGAAAATGGTTTTAACTGATTAATCATTAAAAAGAGAGAGAGAATCGGGGGTGACTCGAGTAATGAAAGAAAGTAGTAACAAGTATTATTACTATAAAAAAATAATATAATAAAATATTAATTTAATCCGAGTCACACGTCTATAAGTAACTTAAAGAATAAGTGTTTTTTTTTAATTTTTTTCAATTTTATTTGATAAATTTAAATATAAATTAAATAGAAATATAATAAATTCCAAGTTTAACATAGTGATAGGTGTAATTTTTTCATCTTTAAATACATCAATCTATCTTTTTCATTTTATTTGAGTTAATTAATTAATTAAATGTGTCACGATTTGATTAGATGAATAAAATTAATAAAAAATAATATGTCAGCTTTGATTGGAAAAGAAAAAATAATATGAAAATTTTAATAATAATAATAATTCATCAGTATCATCGGTAAATATTTACCGATTGATGGTTAAAATATATAAAATAATAGTGATGCTTTTACTAAAAAAAGTAATTTATATCAACGAGGTTGATTTGAATAGTAAGCAGCTTGATATCGCTTAAACAATGTCTCAGGTTCGAGTATTTGTGTATGTATAAAATCTTCGCTGGAAGATCCACCCATCAAAATTAAATGTACGACCTGAGTCGGTCCAAATTAATCAGGACGAAGACTTGGAAATAAAGATAACAAAAAGAAAAAGTTAACTCAGGGACTGGAATAAAAAAGAAATAGTAATAGATTGATGACTATATATGAAGTTTGCCCTATAAGAAAGTAATGTGAAGAAATCAAATTGAAAATGAGGAGTTGCTTCACACGTTTGTTATGATTCCCAATACTAAAGTGTCATGCCTCACTTCTTTATTCAATTTTGTTCCCATTAATTGAGAAACAGATGAACCTGGCTTATTACTTTATTACCCCACTGGCCTGCACGTTCAGATAACAACTCACCCAAATCAAGCATGCCATATAATTAATGCACATCGAAATCTCATTCAATATCACTTGTTTCATTTTTATTATTAATATTTTCTATTTCAATCCAAAAAAAATATTAAACATTTAAATTACTTTATTAGGCAATTCTTATCATTTTTAATTTTAATAATTTTAGATTGAATTTAATTTTTTTTTGGGGGCATTCTCAAAGATTTTAGTCGCTCACTCTTTGTTATGTGGATTATTTATTATATTTAATATTTATGAATCTAACTTTTTGTTTGAATATATATATATATATATATATCGGTTTGACTTTGGATGTATTTCATTTTAATAATTAATTCCATGTCGACCAAACAAACAAATAAATAAGGGAGCCAGGGAGGTATTTATGAGAATGGCGTCAATGGCAATTGAGTAGTCAACTGGAATTTAAATGATTTTTTTTATTTGTTTGAATTATTGAATTCTAAAATGGATTTGATTTTAAATTATTTTATATTTAAATCCAATTAAATGGAATACAAATTATTTACTTATTCAAATGAGGCTATATGGAGTTTGAGTTAATTTTGTTTCGATTGACATGTGTAAAAAGAATTTGGGTAAATAATCCAAAAAGTCATTAAGATATAGGCTTGATTATATTTTGATCATTGAGAAAAAATTATCAATTAAGTCACTAAACTATCAAATTGGTGTCAATGAAGTCACCGTCTGCTAACTGTTAACGAAACTATTGACATGATAATTAAGTAAATTTGTATAACAGTAAATTTAGTTATATTTACTTATACATTTTAGTATTTTATCATTTTGATCTTAATTTTGATTAGAAATAATTCAGTAAATTTAATTCATTGATAGGATGATGTTGTGTCATCATCTCATTGATGAAAAATAAAGAAAATAAATAGCAATGAAAAATGGAGATTCAAACGTATAGAAGGTTAAGGCACGTCTAACAATTGAGCTAAGTTCAATATTTGACCCATAATGGACAATGTTTTATATACAAGTTAATATATAGTTAATGCAATCGGAGGAAAATAAAAGAAATAAAATGGAATCTGTCAACAGTATGATCGAATGGAACCCACCGCCGATGGAATGGTACAAGATCAATTCGGATGGAGCCGGAAAACAAGCACGAGTGTAGCAGCTTTTGATGGAGTGATTCGAAATTCAGACGGCCGCTGGATCATGGGATACACGAAAGGTAATAAGAATATACTTTGTCCTAGATGCAGAACTGTGGGGTGTTTACGAGGGTTTACGCATTACATGAGAACTGGGAATAAGGGCTGCCATTGTAGACACAGATAGTAAAGATGTTCTAGCTCTCCTGGTACAAGGTGAGGCCATGAATGGTGCCTCCTCAGTCCTCACTTATTCCTCACATTGTGATCTTATTGAACCAATATTAGCAAATACGTTTCTGTTATAGAGCGCTGGCTAGGCAATAAAGTGGCAGACAAGATCGCGAACTTGACATGGAATCCACCTACCTCATTGGGTGACTTCACCCGACCTGACCCAAAACCCGATTTGTCTTTTATGATAAAACCCAACTCGACCCGACCTATTACCAATACATAAAAGAAATTTAACTTTATTCAATAAAATAAAGATTTAATTGAAAAAATATATAGATATATATTATTATAATTATCCCTAAACATATAAAATATAATTACAATAATTTTAAAGTTGGGTTTTTTTAATCCCAAACCAGAACCTATCCCAAACTTATCCTCTAAAAAATTCAACCCAAACCCATTTTTTTTTTTAAAAAGACAACCCAATAAAAATAAGTTAGAACCCGTCTAATTCGAATCCCGTATCCATCCCTAACCTGAGCTAATCAACAAAGTGAAAATGAAGACAAACTGCCAAAGTAGGTCATTGAACAAACCCATCAGTGTTTTAAAATTATAAACAACAGTCCAAATTGTCTATCAAAATGGCTGCATGAAACGTTACAAGTCTAAACAAGGAAATACAAGAATATGATTTAAACCCCACTTCATCTTAAAACAAAATCAAGTCGTCATATAAAATAAACATGGGGCAAGAGATTAAAAAATGTTCAAATGTTTCAGTGAATGAAAGACTGATCAAACCTAAGAATAAAAAAAAAATTCCTATTGCAGAGTATTATCTGGTGTTGCACATCCACTACTGGAGATTGCAAAAAATTTAATTCTTCGTTTACACCTAAGTAGCTTTTTGCTTCGGGGCCTTCTTCCTTAGTTGTCTCTTTGGCATTGAGTTCTTCATCCCCGTAAAGAAAACTAACGCACCGCATTGTGCAACACACTGCGAATCATAATGCCTAGGAACACAACTTTAGGTATGCATTTGTAAATACCTGCAAGAAATCTCCCAGCAGAACACTGTATCTGGGCTCATCGGAACTATAATTGTAGAAGTCATGGAGAAGCGGAGTGCTAGCCACCAAGTAGACAAACTATGGCAAAAGATATGACAATTAAAAGAGACATGAAAACAGAATCAGAAGAAAATGCTAAGTGAAATTTCGAATCAAAACAAAAACTGAAAAGAGATGAAATTCTAACCAGTAACAAGGCTCCCAATCCATGGCCAAATACAAATACAATAGCACCAAGTCCTTTCAAAATGATGGCAGTTGAAACTAATTGTCTAACCTGTGTAAACAAGTCTCCATATCAGAAATGAAAGTAAACATAGAGCAAATCAAACTAACATAAACTTGATATTAAAAAAAAAATCATTACATCATATGCAAGATGATTCTTACTTCGATATCTGGAAAATTTACATGGAATCGAGATGATATATGTTTCTTTGCATCATCAAGCTTTGGTATCAACTCCTTCGCAGCAGGCCCGCCATCAACCCCGAATTCATTGAACCTACCAACATGTTGAACGGTCAATAACATTATATCTATAAGATAGTTTCAGTGTACAGACACCAGTGCTGATGAACTCTTTACACAGTCTGGCTACAATCACGAATTAGATAATAGTCGGTAACTATGTGGCACCAACATATAAGACTCAGTACAGGGTCAATCACCGAAATTACATAGGAGAAATGTCCGCTATTTGTGAGTACTATAGATGGGTGCGGATATGTGTGCAAGTATACACAATCGAATAAGTAATAAAGTGATAAGTCGAGTATCGTCTCCACAGGGAATTAGGGAAATCAAATAGGTTTGTCAAGACACTTTACTTTGTCACCTAAGTAAAGTTAGTGATGGTATGTACAAATGAGAATGCTGTGACAAAATGGAATAGCTGATGGGGAAATGGAATGATGGTAGGGTGATGGTAATTGAAAATATTGTGGCAAATTAAATTGTAATACGTGCAAGCAGATGAAAATGTCAAGACAAAATAAAATGTAAATATATTATTTAATAAATATAGGACTTAGCTTTCTCAAATGACAAGCAGCAATGGAAATGAGTGGAAGGAGTTACAAGGAAAATCTAAGTCTATGTCTCTGAATGGTTTTTCTTCTAAGCTTACCCTGCCCGACAGAGTCTACTGAAATGCCCTATGCTATCTCTAGTAAGGGACTCAACAGATTAAAGTTGTCCTGACAAAACCGATTGACGTAAGCCCTTGCAGTGACCCTATTGGTTCAGTTAATAGGATATGTCTCGGCAATACCTTTTTGCGGCAGCATTAACTTCTAACCTATCGTTTATACACAACTCCTTTTAGTCGAATGAAATCCTATCCTTATCTCTAAGGTGGATTAGGCCTAGTTACTATGTAGAACCTCTTGTTTGTGTAGTTCCTCCCTAGCTTCTCTCAAAGACTAAAGATATTTTGCCAATGCATTCTCTCGAACCCTAAGCACCTTCTAAGGAAAGGCTACTCTCGTAGCTCCTACAACCTTAAAGCATTAAGTCTCACAAACAAAACAGAATAAAGCATAAAACAACAACCATTCATTAAAATAAAAACTTAAACATCCAAGTGAACTCCCACCAAATAGGATTAGTTCATGGTGGGGTTCGAAATCAACAAAACACAAAGCAAGATTCATTCGTTCCTTACAACCCAACAACAAAATATAAAAGCAAAGGACTAAGGGGAGGAGAGAAAACCTTCGACGTGCACTGCCCAATGCTTCCCTCGGCCACCAAGATCTGCTCCTAGCGAACTATCTCCTCTCGGATGCTTAGAACGCAATTCCCTTCGGCTTGTCAAAGAGAAATGTCACGGCAAGTGGGATTGACGGAGAAAGATGAGACATTCTCTCTCTAACTTTTTAAGCTCAAAACATTGGGGAACTAAAGTCCTCTTCATTGTGGCTTCCTCCTCTATTTATAGGGGAAAAATTAACCCTAAGACTTAGTGTTAACCATCCTAGAAAACCACAAAACCATGGTTGATTTATTAGGGAGTCGGGCAAAGCATAGCAGTGATCCAGCCTGGGTTGCTGGTTGAGACCCGACATAATCCCATTGCAGGCATCCAAGGACAGATAAGATCTGTAGGGTCAGACGGCATCATCAGCAGGATCGACGGTTGCAGCGCCGATCCCTCCAGGCGTATCTTCGAGGTGGATTTCTCGGGCAGAGGGCACGGAGAGTTGGAGACAACTGGCTAAAAAATATCTTCTTTCACCTTTTGCGTTCTCAAAATGCTAGTCGAACTCGGCATTTTCATTTAGCTCAGCAATCTCCTTATGCCACGGCATTTTCTTTCCTCTTTTCCTTGCTTTCAGCTTTCAATACCTGCACATCATCAGACAATGCAACTAAATGCTTCTAAATGCATCTATATGGTTCTAAATGGGTCTTTAAACATTTAATAACTTAAGTAAAAAGGTACAAAAATATGACCTTTTACGGAGTTATCAAGAAACCAGAATGGTTATGTTGATTACCGAAATTACTTAGGCAAAATTACAAGATTTCGGCCCCTAATCGGCAAAGCATAGAGGAATTCAGAGCATTGAATCATCCGCTTGATTCAACAATGACAAGAATCAATACCATCACATCTATTAACATTTCATGAGACTCGTTTTCATCTTCTCGAAAAAAAAATGGCATTGCCTACAGAAAACTATTCTAAAATATTCAGTTCTGGACTTGGAAATGCTAGTCCTATTAAACAAAAAAATGGAGGTAGAAAAGGTTTTTCATAACAATTATGTATCATAACAACTAATAACATTTAAAATACGAAATATAATTTATAAACACGTCAGTTTCCATTTATTCTAAAAAAAATTAACTCACCCGCAACTCACAAATTAACAATATTGTAAATTGGCCCAGATCCTCAACAAAAGTATCATTAACCAGAGATACAGATTAAGGATAATAAATGCAAGACCACCCAAAAACTACTAAATTTAGCACAAACAAAAAGTGAAGAAAGGAACAGATCTAAAAAAACATTAAGCATATTTCTTAAACAACCCAACAAATAGATTAAATAGATAAAAAAGAGAGAGAGAGAAAGAGTGATTACATTTGCCAATCGGAGAGAATGAAAATAGAAGCGAAGAAAACTCGTCCGGAGAATGAAGCAAAACCCATTGGGTTTCCCCTCCTTTTCAAATTAAGCAAGAAGAAAAAAAAACAAATTTCTGGGTTTTCTTCTCTCAAAGAAGTGTAAGATACAGAAATTTTGTTTCTTTTTTCTTTTTGGCTTTCGAGGTAGTCGGGGACTTGATCGGTCAATTATTCATATAAATTAGGATAAACTACGCAATTGGTACCTAAAGTTTGACTTTTGATAAGTTTTAGTAATGAACTTTTAATTTTTTTTAAAATCATACCTAATATTTAGTTTTTATTTCATTTTAGTACTCGCCATTCATTTTTAATTATTTTTTTAATTTTAAATTATTATTTAATTAATTTTATTCAACTAATAAACAAAACAAATTTTAAACTCCCAAAAGGTGTGCTCACCAAGATCAAACCTGGGTCTCCTAGGAGGAAGAGGAAGTGTTCAACTAACTGAGCTACCAAAGGTAATTGGTTTCAGATGCCAAAGTATATATTTAACTTATATCAAACTATCACAATAAAATGAAAGAAATTTGTTAGATATATGATTCCAACCTAGAATATTTCAAAAATATTCAAGCATTTAATCACTAAATAAGATTAAGAATTAAGTTAATACATACCAAAATTACTATTTAACATATAAAAATATTAAATTAAAATTAAATAAATTCTCATTTTAATTTAAAATAAAAAATAATTAAATAATTATTTATATATTTTATAAAATCAATATTATTTTATTTTAAAAATTACATGTATTGTATCATAAGTAGTTTAAAATATATGTATTTAATTATTTAAAAATTAAATTAAATTATTTTTAAAATTATAAACTTCTATTTTATAATTATTTATGAAAATAAATAAATAATTTATATTTTAAATTACTTTAATAATTTTAAGGATAGAGTATAAATTTTAATTTAATAATTTTCATTAAATATTTAATTAAATAAATAAAAATAATTATTTTAATTATTTTCTTATTTCTAAATAATATTTTAATTGAGGAATTATTTAATTTTTAATTTAATTTTTATAATTTAAATGATAATTTTGGTATGTATTAAATCAATTCTTAATCCTATTTAATAATTAAATGCTTGAATATTTTTTGAGATGTTTTAAGTTGGAATCATAGATCTATAAAATTTATTTCATTTTATAGTGATAGTTTGGTATAAGTTAAATACATACTTTGTCGTTTAAAACCAACTAATCTGAGTTGAATGAGTCCTTCCCCTACCCACTATGAGACCTAGGGTCAACTCCCGGTGAGCACTCCCTTTGGGAGTCTAAAGTTATTTTCTTTCTAATCAGCTCTGAAGTTAAGGTTTTAACGGTGGAGTATTAAAATGAAACAAAACTAAACGTTAGATATGATTTTGTAAAAATTAAAAGTTTAGGTATTAAAATATACCAAAAGTGAAACTTTAGATACTCAATACGTAGTTTATCCTATAAACTATTAATAAACTAAAGAATAAATTACACAATTCATCACTTAATTTTATTCTCACTCCTATTTTAGTCACTAAAATTTAAATTTTTTTAATTTAACGATTAAACTTTATACATTAATTTTTTTATCACTCCGTCGTTAACTTTGTACCAATGTTATAACATGGTTAAAAGTTTTATTACCCTTGATTTCAAATCGTTGACTGATTAACAAAGTTGGACCTTGTTGAAACTCCGAATTTCTGAGAGCCCTTCATTTCAGCTTTTTTCTTTCTATTATTCCATGTTGTTCTTTTGAAGGGCTAAACTCTCGACATAACGTTCTCGAACAAATTATTTCACGAGATAATGCTCTCTCAAGATTAATTGCTCAAATATGGTGAAATCTTGCCGTAGGTCGCCATGCCTTCCGAGTGACCTACTACGTGGCCAGCCATGCACGTCCCCCAAGCATAGGTCGTCATGCCCTCCGGGCGACCTTGTAGGTCGCCATGCACTCCGGGCGACCTTGTAGGTCGCGATGCACTCCCTCATGCTCCTCGCGTGATTTTTCCTGCTCGGATAGCCTCGGTCGGATGCCCTCGGTCGGATGGCCTTGGATGCCCAGCGTGTTGGAACGTGCATGACATACGCAATCTCTCTCATAGCTTACCTGGAAGACATGGCGACCTAGTAGGTCACCCGGATGGCATGGCGACCTACGACCAACACTGTAGATTTCACCCTATTTGAGCAATTAATCTTGAGAGAGCATTATCTCGTGAAATAATTTGTTCGAGAACGTTATGTCGAGAGTTTAGCCCTTTTGAAGGGTATCTGGATTTAGTTTATTCTCAAATGATTTTCTTTTAAACTTATTTTCTTTCTCATCGTCGCATCACCGATAAAGAAATGTTTCTCTTTTTTAATGATAAACTAATCTTAGTAAATTAATCGAAGAGTGATTAAAAAAATTTAATATATAAAGTTCAATTATTTAATTGAAAATTTTAAATTTAAGTGACTAAAATAAGAACGATGAAAATATTGAATGTTAAATTTTGTCATAGACGTGGGCTCTTGGGATTAAGCGCTAAGATTTTATAATAATATTTATAAAATGCTTTTAGGATTTAATATTATATTATTATTATTATTATTATTTGTAGTATAAACTTATACAATCTGTAATTACAATTTATACAACCAAGCATGATAAGATGAATTAAGATGTAATTGTCAAATATATCTACGTAATTAGAATATTTAATAATTACGTGAGAATATAAATAATAAGATGGTAATTTTATTAATTTTGCATACGATGACAGTGTGATGTCCAAACATACTCTTAATATGCAACTTAAAATAAATAAAATTAATTTTGTGTAAATATATATTAAATTCTAACTTAATTTAGTATTTTATCTACCTCTAATATTATTATTATTTATTAACGATGTAACTGACATTTACTTATTTAATAAATAAATAGTTATATTTATCTAATAATTGAAACTTAAAATAAAAGATTTAATTGTGTGTGTCTATATGTATATATATATATATATCTAATAATTGAATTAGAATTATTGATTAACGATGCCACTAATATTTATTTAATATATAAATAGATATATTTATCTAATAATTGAATATATTTTTTAAATATAAAAGGTGGAATCAAAATTTTATTTTAAGATTTATGATTAATAAAAAAATGGAATATAATTTTAGTAGTAAATATGTAACACCCTAATTCAGTCTGATCCGATCGAATGATTAAAGTATCACATGGGATCATCGAAGTGGCTAACCCAAAAATTTTCTTTTAAAATCGATTGTAAATCATCATATGAAACCATCCATAGTGAAATAAAATAAAACATAATAATATGAGTTTACAAAATACTAGGGAGCTCCAATACATCTAAAAAATACAAATACTGAGTTTAATCAAAATGGAGTTACGACCGAATACAAAAGGGTCTATAAATAGTACATGTCTTCTAATATAATCAAGATGTACTCTGAAACCTCAGCTAAACTGGAATATATGGTGATGATAACACTCCACGGGCGGTCTCCTAAGAACCTGCTCACGGAAACACATTCCGAACGTTGTGGTTACGAGCTTAGTGCCACACTAATAATTGTATTGTACTACATGCATTCACTACATGAGCATGCTTGTGACATAGGTATGAAGACATAAGAGTGTTGTCAGGAAATGCTGAAATAGGCATCATGGTATGGCGGAGGGTTCTGCATCTCGGAGCACATACCCCTCCAGCTTTCCTAAAATACCCTCAGGTATCTGGGGTGAGATTTGAAACTGCATCGAAAATGTACACCCGACCAATTTACTCCGTTGAGTTTTGGGGCATCTGTGCACGATCGTCAACTAAAATGACTTGGCACTAACTAGGATATATCCACACAAGACGATCGTATTCTACTAAAGTAACTTTAGCGTCATGGTTGTTTTCTCGAGCATCAAACAAGACTAATTTTATGTAATCCTAAATGTTATTGTTTCTAGCTGTATTGTGCTTGCTATTGTTTCTAGTTGTATTGTGCTTATTATTGTTCTTACTTGTAGTTTTATTACAAGGCATTCTGGTGTTATTGAGCCCCTCAAGTCTAACCCCTTAATCATTTGGATTATTTATCCAAACCTATACATTGGTACCGATATTGAGCCCTGCATTATTGGTATTGGCCCCTGAGTATCGATACCTACCTTTTGGTATCGATATTGTAATAACTATTACACACTGAGAAGGGACGATAGTATCGATACTTTTGTACTAGGGTATCTATATCAAATTTGACTTCGATGTTTTGAAAAGCCTTAGTATTTATATCCCTACTGAGAGTATCAATAACCTACCCCCAGTATCGATACTCCCATGAGTACCGATACCAAAATTGGCTACTGAAATTTGCTAAGTGAACCCGATATTGATACTCCTCCTGATAATATCGATACCCAATGAAGAAGTATCAATACTTGTATCCTAAAAACCCTTGTTTGAACCATTTTACGGATAATATCGGTATTGTTATTTCAGTATTGATACTCAAACCCATAAATACCCTATTTAAACACGAAAATGACTCATTATTACACCCAAAAAACTTACTAAGATTCCCAAACCTTAATAAAGTTTTATGTGTGTTAAACATGGTCATAATAGGTCTATAAACAAGCTGGAAAAAAAAATCAAATGTTGAGATCTACCATGAACACGCTTTATAACTCATGCAACCTACCAAAATACACATAGCGATCTACATGTGGTAGAGTTGAGTTAGAAATGAGTTACCTTGAGTCCTAAGCTGCTGAGAGCACTCAAAACTTGACCAAATGCTAGCTTCACCTTTCCCTTGACCTTGGAACTTTCTCTAACTTCTCTCATTAAGCAATAATTAAAAACATGAGTTACTAACTGGATTGGAAGATTAGAAAATGATTTAGAACGTTTATAAAGGCTTAAATCTCCTAAAAACATACTAGTTATACTTAGGTTTCTAAACCCTCATTAAAGACCATATTTTGGAAACCATGATGGAACAGAGAGATTGAAGGCTTGAATTGAAACTCTGAAAATGGAGGTTAAGATTCTTACCTTTAGAATCTCAGATCAAGCTTGATAGGTCACAAAGTGATACTTTTCTTAAGTTACAATAAAAGACAAATGAGAGTTTGAATGGAAGAAGAAGATAAGGATGAAGAAAAAAGAGATATGAGCGAGGGGTGCAGACGTGAGATCGCCATCCTTAATGGGTATTCAGCCTTTGAAATTAAAATTGATATAATTACTTATTTGCTCCTTCAAGCTTTGGTCAAAATTCAAATATGCCATTTTTAAAGCCAATTGGGCTCAATTCAAATTCAATTCCACTCAAACTAGGGTCAAAATTTCCTACAAACTAAGAGATTAATTCAAGGCCCTCTCGGATTAACTCAAAACTCATAACTCAAGATTTGAGGCGTTACAAAATATTTGATATTGTTTATTTTTATAATTTTCTGTTGTCACAACATAAAGTTGATAATCCTCATAAGTGGGAGTGGTGGGGAGATTTCGAAGTCCAAACTCATCCTACCCGGAACAATGAAAATAAGATAATGGAATTTTAAAACTGGAAAATATATATATTTTTAAGGATTATTATACTTTTTATTGGTTAAAATTCTTAGAATATCTAACTAGATTATTATTTTAATAAATTAATCGAAATTTTTATGTGGAAATTATATGTATATTTTACTAAAAACTAAGTGCTCACCGCCCGAAGTGTGCCAAGATGGTACTAAGGAACATTAGTATAAAGCTATAAAATTGAAATTATACCATTTTTATAGTTGAAAATGGTTCACATGTGTCTCACTCTATACATTTCCAAAGATATCGTGGAGTTAACTCTAGGAACCCTATTTCAAATTACATCAAGTTGGTCTACCATTGAAACAACTTTAAGTTGGGACAATATCAACGGCAACATATCCAAGATTTTATGTTAGTGATAAACTTACAAAATTTTAAAAGATGAATTTATAAAGTTTTAAAAATGACGAAAGTAGATTTTCAATATAAATTAAAAATAAAATATCTAAAACATATAGATAATTAAAATTTTAAGAGGCGATGCACTCATCTGCCTTCACCTCGGTCCATCCCTAAGTATTAGAGATGAAACCATGTAATGCTTGGTAGGGACTCTTGCCCCTCAAATATTTTTATCGAATGACTTTTTAAGTTCTTATTACTTTAAATATTGAGTAAATTAATTTGTCTCCAGTTTTTAGGTTAAAACCCTTATTGGGTACTTGTTGTTTTGAAGTTAACCAATTTTTAAGATTCTAAGTTGTATAATATATTGTTTCTATACGTATGTTGCATTTATCACAAATTAATGTTACAAGGTTAAAAACTGTTATGATCACAAAGCAAGGATTTGTAGTTGTGATTTAAGGATGTCTTGTATGACCATTTTTCTTAAATAAAATTCAAACATTGCTGAGAAAAAAATTAAGGATGAGTTAGTTCACTAGCTTTGACAAAACTTATCTAACATTCTATAAATAAACTTCACATGCATGTAAAAACCCTAGGATCGCTAGGCACAACGAATTGAAGACCAAAAATAAAGAATTTACAAAAGTTTCATATAATTTGAAGAGAAAACATCAATGCACATCTTATATACCAAAAAGAAGAAACCAGAACTATGAGTTGATAATAAGAAGTATAAAATGGAATCATCTGTGCAAAATTAAAACTAATAATGATTGGTTTCTACATAAACAAACTTAAACAGCATAATTCCTTTACCAAATCATTAAGGGGCCATTCTTCAATCTCTATAAACATCAAAAGCTTGTTAAATCCAGTGAAACTGTACCTGTCAAAACAATTTCTTCACTGTACAGCATAATTCCTTAGTTATAACGTTATGGATGGTGACCCAGTCGAAGCTCCAAATCGACTTCATCTTCTTTCATGATTCCCTTTATCGTCATTTCAGTGTTATCTACATTTGTAGGGCCAACTTGTAAGCTCAAATTTGCACCCAAAAGCTCTTCATAATGACCATATGAAGAGTACTTTGATGGTTCTTGAAAATACATGTGATCATTCCCTTGAGCTTCAGCCTCCAAAATCGGATAACACTTTGATGGGTCAAGAGTTGGGATTGCTGGAACGTATCTAGGGTCCATGTACTCCTCATTCGGTTGTCGACTCGGAACCGACGAGCTCGTCGGTTGCTTAGCCTTGGCTCGATCTTTCCGATGTATGTTCATGTGGCCTCCCAAGGCTTGAGCGTTGGTGAAACCTCGTTTGCAGAAGATGCACTCGTAGGAGCGTTTGGGGGTCACGGCGTCGCACTTGACTCGATCGACCGGATCGTTTTCTTCGCTCAAAGAATCGGAGCTCGGTTGCTTCATGGCTGATTCCATCCTCAAAGAAAAAAAGAAAGTGGTCAAGGGTTAGAGAGAGAAGAAGAAGGAAACGAGGAGACAATTGGAAGACATAGGCTTTGTCATTGCATTTGCTTTGTATTTGTTGACAAGTGAAGACTAGGTTTTGGCGTTTGTGTTAGGATTTTTCCCTTGAGTCGGCTTTATGATGGATCCATTTTCTCTTATTTTACTTCGTAATATAAATAGGATAAACTGCACATTTAGTATTCTTACTATCACTTTTATCCATTTGATACCCAATTTATTTTCTTTTCAAAATCATACCTAACGTTAAGTTAATGGAGGAAGGTAATGGGCAAGTGTAAAAAAAATAACACATACATACATACATACATACATACATACATACATACATGCATACATACATACATACATACATACATACATACATAAAGATGCACTCGTAGGAGCGTTTGGGGGTCACGGCGTCGCACTTGACTCGATCGACCGGATCGTTTTCTTCGCTCAAAGAATCGGAGCTCGGTTGCTTCATGGCTGATTCCATCCTCAAAGAAAAAAAGAAAGTGGTCAAGGGTTAGAGAGAAAGAAGAAGGAAACGAGAGACAATTGGAAGACATAGGCTTTGTCATTGCATTTGCTTTGTATTTGTTGACAAGTGAAGACTAGGTTTTGGCGTTTGTGTTAGGATTTTCCCTTGAGTCTTTATGATGGATCCATTTTCTCTTATTTTACTTCGTAATATAAAATAGGATAAACTGCACATTTAGTATTCTTACTATCACTTTTATTCCATTTTGATACCCAATTTATTTTCTTTTCAAAATCATACCTAACGTTAAGTTAATGGAGGAAGGTAATGGGCAAGTGTAAAAAAATAACACATACATACATACATACATACTACATACATGCACATGCATACTACATACATACATACATACATACATACATACATACATACATACATACATACATACATACATACATACATACATACATACATACATACATACATACATGCATACATGCATACATGCATACATGCATACATACATACATACATACATGCATACATGCATACATGCATACATGCATACACATACATGCATACATATGCATGCATGTATGCATGTATGCTACACATGCATACATGCATACATGCATACAGCATACATGCATACATGCATACATGCATACATGCATACATGCATACACATGCATCATGCATACATGCATACATGCATACATGCATACATGCATACAGGCATACATGCATACATGCATATGCATACATGCACATGCATACATGCATACATGCATACATGCATACATGCATACATGCATACATGCATACATGCATACATGCATACATGCATACTGCATACATGCATACATGCATACATGCATACATGCATACATGCATACATGCATACTGCATACATGCATACATGCATACATGCATACATGCATACATGCATACATGCATACATGCATACATGCATACAGCATACATGCATACATGCATACATGCATACTGCATACATGCATACTGCATACATGCTACATGCATACATGCATACATGCATACATGCATACATGCATACATGCATACATGCATACATGCATACATGCATACATGCATACATGCATAACATGCATACATGCATAACATGCATACATGCATACATGCATACATGCATACATCATACATGCATACATGCATACATGCATACATGCATACATGCATACATGCATACATGCATACATGCATACATGCATACATGCATACATACATACATACATACATAGATACCAAAATGTAACAAAAATAATAGTTTAGGTGCTAAACTTGTAGTTTACCTTATAATATAATCTCTCATTCACACATACTCTTACAAAGAGACTTTGAAGGATATTTTATATTATAATTTTTGGTACAATATTTCTATTTGTATATGATACTATCGTGAAGGATGATGGGAAACCTAAATAAACCTTTGAGCTTCACATTGTAAAAATATACTTCTTGCATAAAACATTTATAGTTGAAGAGAAAACTAAAGTCAACAACACGTGAATACAAATGAGAAAACAAATGCTATCATGAAACCGCGTATAGTTTGATATTATTTTCACGTAGGGTTTGAAGGGCGAGCTAAAATTATCAGAGTTCTTAAACCAAAGGAAAGTGGGGTTCCATGGCCTCCTCCTTTTACCCTATTTAGATTCCCTTCTATGAATTAGGATTTTTCCCTTGAGTCGGCTTTATGATGGATCCATTTTCTCTTATTTTACTTCGTAATATAAAATAGGATAAACTGCACATTTAGTATTCTTACTATCACTTTTATTCCATTTTGATACCCAATTTATTTTCTTTTCAAAATCATACCTAACGTTAAGTAATGGAGGAAGGTAATGGGCAAGTGTAAAAAAAATACATACATACATACATACATACATACATACATACATACATACATACATACATACATACATACATACATACTACATACATACATACATACATACATACATACATACATACATACATACATACATACATACATACATCATACATACATACATACATACATACATACATACATACATACATACATCATACATACCTACATACATACATACATACATACATACATACATACATACATACATACATACATACATACATACATACATACATACCTACATACATACAACATACATACATACATACATACATACATACATACATCATACATACATACATACATACATACATACACATACATACATACATACATACATACATACATACATACATACTACATACATACATACATACATACATACATACATACATACATACTACATACATACATACTACATACATACATACATACATACATACATACATACATACATACATACATACATACATACATACATACATACATCATACATACATATACATACATACATACATACATACATACATACATACATACATACATCATACATACATACATACATACATAATACATACATTACATACCTACATACATACATACATACATACATACATACATACTACATACATACATACATACATACATACATACATACACATACATACATACATACATACATACATACATACATACATACATACATACATACATACATACATACATACATACATACATACATACCTACATACATACATACATACATACATACATACATACTATACATATAAGTTTAGATACCAAAATGTAACAAAAATAATAGTTTAGGTGCTAAACTTGTAGTTTTACCTTATAATATATCTCTCATTCACACATACTCTTACAAAGAGACTTTGAAGGATATTTATATTATATTTTTGGTACAATATTTCTATTTGTAATATGATACTATCGTGAAGGATGATGGGAAACCTAAATAAACCTTTGAGCTTCACATTGTAAAAATATACTTCTTGCATAAAACATTTATAGTTGAAGAGAAAAACTAAAGTCAACAACACGTGAATACAAATGATGAGAAACAAATGCTATCATGAAACCGCGTATAGTTTGATATTATTTTCACGTAGGGTTGAAGGGCGAGCTAAAATTATCAGAGTTCTTAAACCAAGGAAAGTGGGGTTCCATGGCCTCCTCCTTTTACCCTATTTAGATTCCCTTCTATGAATTATTGAGTAAAGGGGCATATTTTCCATATTTCAAATTTATCTCTATGAAGTATTCATGTACTATCTAATAGGACCGACATAAGATTTTATTTGAAATAAAGTTAGTAAACTTTAGGAGACGAATTTAAAAATTTTTGGGAATAAAACAATTATCAATAAAAAAATAAAGAAAATACCTACGTTATTTGAGAATTTAAAGTTCGGTGATTCGCATGCAATACTTAAGTCATTGAAAATATGAAGATATATCAGTACATATCTACTCGTAAGAATTATCTTAAATACACTTATAGTGACTGTGCCTCTACATTGGCCGTGCACCAAATAAGAATTCATCTTAAATTATTTTTTCAGGCATTGTATTTTAAGGAGCTTTTAATGAGCGCTAGGGTGTGATTCATTGTTAAAATAATTCGTACACGTTGACCGTAGTGACGAAGCAAGAAATTTTATCTCGGGGACAAGATAAAATTTAAAGTCTTTAAGAGGCCAAAGCAAGAAAAAATTATGTTAAAATGACTGAAATTAAATTATTAAAATTTATAAGAGAAGTCAAAAATGAAAATTCACATAACTAAGATTCATAGGGATTGAATTGAATTCTTATATTTTTGGAGGAGCTAAAACACATTTCGACCATTAAAACAGGAAAGGATACTGCTGGCTGCCTTGGCTATGTCTGATTTCGCCATGCATAAAAAAGGAACTCATCCTAAATTATGAAAATATTGGGAAAATATCATAAACCCTTCATTGGAAGGATTCATGTCATGCATGACGTAACGGCGTGCTTCATCAGATGGAAGGAGGAAGGGTTCACATCGAGGGCCATGTCTTCTTATATCCACACGCTTTGATGTGATTCATATATGCAAAGCTATCTCCAACTAGACGAGAGGGGAAAAAAGAATAAATTGACGTTAACTCATTTAATTAATTTTATTTGCATTCTGACGATATCACTTATGTCTTTTGGTGTATGCTAATTTGAGACACTTTAATTTTTTACCCTTTCCCTTAAAACAACTGGTTTTAGTTTAGGAATTGTAATTACAATTAAGAGTTAGTTGTATTCTACATCACCAAACAATAACTCTTATTCTAAATTAGTCCCTAAACTTTTGGACATTCTTACTTCATCCTTAAATTGTGACTCTAATTATGAATTGGTCCCCAAACTTTTGAATATTCCACATTTATTCCTAAACTGTGAAGCTCAATCTAAATTACTCCCTAAAAGTTTGAATATTCCAATTCCGTTCCCAAACTTTTGAACAATCTTGAGAGATGTTATTGGAATGTTTAAATGTTTGAGGAT